ACCGGCAGTAGGTAATCACGTCGATTCTCGCATTGCCCCGTGACCTACTTACGGGCCCTATAGCTCTGGCGAAACGACAGTTAAATATAATTTCTATCAGGTATAAAGGATATGGATTAGAATGTACACAACATCGAGTAGTTTTTGAATGTTTTTCAAACGGTATTACGTCTCACAATCAAAGACTGAGGATAAATGCAATGAAACTCACTGCCTATATACCGACAGGGGAAAACTCGTCGAATGTAAACACCACCGGAATTAACCCGAGGCCAAATGTGAAAAGATAATTAGAGCTGTATATTACAATGGGCAGCAAAAACACCCAGTTTTCCAGTATTTTCACTCCCTATCACAACTTACACCATTGGTCAGTCCCACGCATGATCATATGTGGTTGTTATGCTTCGTTATGTAACGTGAACAAGAGTAACCCGTAAAAACCATTGTATTACTTGTTGTTACTATTATGAATAACATGACACCTTAGTAGTTTTATTCAAAGCATTAAATTTAAAGTTTAATAACGTGAAAGAAAACCAGAAGAGTTTTATGCTAAGGATAATCTGTCTTCCAAACCAAATCATCTCATTCCAGTTTCTCTTAAATTTATCTTTTGATAGGAACCCACTGATTGTGGGAGATTGCCGAAAGAGGGGAATCATCCGGAATACGAAGGAGGTGAAGGAGACCAGGATGATGGAGTCCATACAAAAAGACGGAATCGAAAGTCTGCAAAAGCCGAAGATACTGAATACACACCTTCCTCTCTGCATGCTCCCAACACAGATTGTGGAGAAAAAGATCAAAAGTATCCAGATCCACACTGACTCAATCTCTCACTCACACGCTCCCCCCTATCTCTCTCTCTCACACACACACACATAAAACCACTCACCCGCTCACTCACTCATTGCCCTTTCTTTCTTGGTACAAGGATATTACTCTCTATCTCTATCCACACCTTAAGTCTATGTCCCATCAAGTGTATACGATACCTTGCCACCTTTCTAAATATTACTGTCACTGATACCTTCTGTAAAGGTATAGCCGAGGCATGCTGGTTTGATAAAATGAAGCAGTTTGACAAAGATGAGATGCACAAGTCTTTGGCACTCTGGAAGGAGGGTTCCGGGGGAGTCTTTCTATCGAAAAGGTACATAGTTGAATTGACTGTGCGGTTATAACTGCCTGGGTTGGGTTCTTCACTGCCACACTGAACAGTATTTCAGTGATGTCGATGTATGTGAGACATTCATCCACTTTGATGCATGTGAAACCCTCGAACGGCACAGCCCTAACAAGAATCATTATCAGGGCAAATCTTGTACTCCAACCCATGACTCTTGCTGTGGACAGGGACATGTTTTTTAATACTTATGATACTTCAAGTCTAAGATATGAAAAAAGTAAAAAAAGTGTAATACTATTTAATTCATACAATATTCCTTCCACATTTGATAACAAGTGCACTTTTAGAAAGTCTGAAAGAAGTCAAACCAGAAAGAATCATGCTTTTACAGTCCCGCCCTTTTGAAACTTTGATGAAATTAGGAAACGATTTTTTTGCCTTTTGCCTTTTCCTTCAGGTGAAGTTGGGGACTGGAAGAATTGGTTCACGGTTGCAGAAAACGAGTAATTTGATTATATTTGGAACGACAAAATGGAGGGCTCTGGTATCCAATTCTTGTATACACTATGATGAGAAGGTACATTGACTGGTTTGTCAAATTGGCGTTCAAACACTTTAGCAGCTTTTTCAAAAGCTATTTAGGGGAGGGACAGGTTGGTGACGACAATACATATAACCTGAAGACACATTTCTATTTTATTAGTTTTTGCATATACGTTTTGTGTGGTCCAATAAAAGTCTAATCAGAATCAGGTTACTAGTGTTTTGTTGTTTCGAAGTGAGGCCTTTCCTTTTGACGGCTCATTGTTTGAGAAGAGTCTGAAGAATAAGGGCATGAGGACGACTGGCTATAAGAGTTAGTTAAACGTTAACGCCGGATCGGCATTATTTCATCCTTGTATCGAGTCGAAGAAAAAGAAAAACATGTAACGTGTCTTGTTTTCAGAAAGTTCAGAGGCGTCACGTTCCTGATGTCTTTGACACTGCATAAGACTGTTCAAAATGTCCTCAGTCAATAAACCATTCACGGGCCTAAGATTCAAAGATAACTTTGTCTGTTATGCATACCATAGGGAAGATTTATTTTGTGACTGAGCGATAACGTGTTCATAGCATATTTCCAAAAAGAGCCTCCAGTCGGAAGATTTGCTCGATGCCTGTTCTTCCACAGGATGGCACCTTTGGTATTGACTTATGTGGATCACATCTTATCTCTGTATTAGTGAAAGTCGGTAACACTCAATTCAGAACGTGTTGTTGTTTTTTCGATCAATTATTCATACATTACTGTACAGAAAACAGAACCTACGAAAAATATCTTTATGGTTGATGATTCATTATTCATCACCGATAAGCCACAGATGCACTGAAAACTATATATCTCATATTTGTAGTATAAATTGACAATATTATCAGATCACGGGAAGTGGATGAGTGGATGAACCGACACATTTGTCATACAATGATCGCACATACTGCATCACCCAGTGCAAAACGTACATAACAAGAATTATATTCACTGCAGGCAATTAATTGAATGGGGTATCTCGTTGTCTTTACAAAACATGCAATGTAAACTTTCAGCTGACATGAGTGAGTGAATATAGCTAAAGAGAGTTATTACGTAATATTATGAACGGGAAGAAATTAACTCTACACATTGTACCCAGGATGTGCGGAATCGAACCCTGACTTTTGCCGTTACAACGAACGCTTCAGCAACAACTCTCCAGGGCCGTCCAGTGGGTGTTTGAATGGGCTGTCGCCTCACATCGCATCACCATCCCTGATGTAGCAGGAGTTAAAGATGTATGGTGAGATCATATTGAAGGTCAGCGTTGCACAGCTTGAAGGGGTGTCTCAATAAGTATTCGATATTACATATTGCCTCTTGGGGTGCAGTCAGGTTTGATTTGTTTGTTTCTGAACGCCGCACTCAGCCATATTTTTGCTATATGGTGGTTGTCTGTAATGAATCGAGTGTTGAACAGACAATCCAGCGATCAACACGATGAGCATAGTTCTACGCAATTGGGATAGGACGACAAGTGTCAACCATGTCAGGGAGCCTGTTTAAGATTTAACGTCTTGTCGACAATTCATGTACTGGCAAGAACAAAACAATACAATATACGGACAATGCGAACTGAAATAGCAAGGTAAATATCAGTCAAAGTAACAGACGTGAGATAGAGTTAACTATAATAAACACAATCAAAGCATGCCATGCGTAGTCATCCGCAATGTCAAATGTTACCCAGTCTGCTTTCTTCATGGTTCATGCCCGCTCGTTCATTAAAACGATCACTGAGGTGTTGCTGATTAACAGTCTCGTGAATATGCTTCATTTCTTGAGCAGAACAATGTATCCATTTAGTCTATAATAAAATTGTTTTATTCAGTTATCAATACATGCAAGTGATGACAACAACGTTTCCGTTTGTACATATATGAATATTGTATAATCTGAACTCAAGTGACAAGGCGAGTTTGCTGAAAACCGTCAAAGATCACAATGTGTGACATATCATTACGAACTGCAAGTCGTGACTGTCCAATTGACCCACACTGTGACAGTTCCTTTGTGATATATGGTCTTAAAGAATCACAGTTCATGTATTGGGATCTGTGTTTGTGAGTGACGCAAAGACACCAAAATGTCTTTGAGGAAGACATGAAAGTAGTTCAGGCATGATGTGATTTTCATTTGAGTGGAATGTCGATTTATACAACAGGGGTTAAATGTACTTATCACAGAACGTTATAAAAATTGCTCATACAAGTAAAGACAAAGATTCATTTTCATTTTCATTCAAGTAATTTGCATAAACAAGTGTTACATGGGCACAATGAGATTTCTGGTGTCCCCGACGTGTGGAATTTTGTAAAATTTGTATTATCATTGATTAAGTGATAGTTATTATGGGTCACAATGTTTAAAGTTTTGAGTGTGGGTTGCGGGTCACATCTCATCATGTATGTTCAATGACAATACCATTTTTTAGCGGTACGCCTTTTTGATAGCGCTTCAGAGTTGCCTCCCTTGGCAATCTTATTTACGGCTTTCATCATGTCATGTTTATGAGGCCTTTCGTGAATGTTCTGAGAAGATAATGATGTCGCCTGGCTTTTCTAGAATGCTCAAGAATCTGTGTCACTATATATAACTTAAGGCTGGTTGTTGTGTTGACAGACACGGACTAACACATGGACTTATCACACCACTGGAATTATACATCTGTCTGCCATCGTAAACATCGTCAAGACCGATCGTCTACTCTCATTGTAAACTACCTTTATTCAGTATGTCTGCTCTCACTGAAAATGTCAACACTCTGGTGAGTTAATATTTCATATTTGTGACCCATTACTTTAGATTTGTGACTCAATTGCATTGTACTAAATATCTGTATTGTCATTAATTGTAGCTTGCTCAATGTTTGCTCAATATATTATTGAATATGTTAGACTTTTCTGTGTTATATTTTGCTGGTTCAAAGGGGACTCTTAAACCTTTTGTGACTTGTTAACCGTAACAAATTATAGAGAAAACATATGTAGTGAACGTGGGGTTACCTCTGCATCCATTGTATTGCCCGGTGTATGGGACTACGTTGTGGTCCTGCATGCATGACATGACACTTCTTTCTTTACACAAAGCAAGGAGGGTTAAACCTATGAGGGAGAGAGTCAGGGTCCACTATGATAATGAGCTGAGGTAAGAAAAGCGAATGGTAATTATGTCTCTAGCACTACTGACATGTGTGGTCACGTAATCAAAAACAGTATGTCGCAACTTCAGGGCACGTAAATACATTCACAGAGCGGCACATCACACATACACTACCCAGGTGCGAGTCAGATACAGATCAGAGGTGTGATATATCATCAGATTGTCAGCGTACCACATCACTGACCGACATCTACCACCATGTCGGCAAATGAATGCGAAGGAAAGCCTCAAGTGTAAGTTATAGCTTAACTGAGAGTATCATTTTATAGCGCTACTAGTTATATCCATGCAATATAACACACCAGGAGACGTATATTAATCAACATGGTGACAGATATGCATTGGGAAGACATGAGTTGTAGGATACTGTATACATACATTTCCATATTTAAAAATCAAGAAACGATTGTGAGTGAGTTTTAAGGTGATTTTTGTCCAGATTACTCTTAACATACTTCGTGTATATAATTTTCTTTTTTTTTTCTTTCGTATATTATGTCCTATGCATTTCCCTATTTTGACTTAAACCATGTGTTCCCGAATTATTTCAGGTGAACAAATGACTAGTCTTAGCATATGTTTATGACGGGTGCCACCGAGGGGGCAGGATACCTGGAATCGCGAACACCTGGTACCATCACTATTTCATAGTGATTCATAAACATATGGTCTGTCATCGTATCGCATGGTGACAATCACTGGATTGTCTGGTTCATACAGCTGTAATACTGCTGAAATAAATATCTGCTCATGATATAGTCACAATTTTACAATCACCTCTGCTTTTGGCAGAGACCTCTTATGAATGTGGAAAGGATTTTGTCGCTTCAAGACCCATGACAATAGCATGTTGAAATTTGTTCACACCTTTGCCCGAGAGTGACCACAAAGCCCACAGTTTCAGCGTATAAATGCGAGTTTACAGAATTTAAATGAAATCTTATAAAATTAATGCTGTGGTATCTTCAGGATTTCTTCAGATCTGAGAGACCTTGGTGACATCCACGATTTGAACAACTTTCAGTGTTTACTGTATGATGGCCTGTACCTCCCAATGGCACCACCAAAACGGCTTGAAGGTCGGAGTCAACTTGAGAACTACAAAAGCATTAAAGACGCTCAACTGAATAGAGATGATGTAATCCTTTGCGCGTATCTTAAATGCGGTAAGTACTTGTTGCATGAGTGTTAGACTGTATTTACTCAATTTCGATTTCTGACACATGTAATTCATCTGCAAACGTTGTTTATCAATCACTTTAATAACTTTTATGTGTGATATTTCCTTCCAGGTGAAGTTGATACTTCAGTCTGTAACCAGAATGTTACAAACGTGATGTTAAAAGTTAAAAGTGTTTCAAATCAATCCATAGCTGATACGAATCATTAGCACATCTAACTGTCACCATCAAACAGACAGTGTTTGTTGAACAAAAGATGAGAATTCATTCCCATTGTAAGACTACTGAGCAGGGTATTTCAACCTCGTTCTCTCGTCACTCTTTTCACAAAGAAAACAATGCAATTCATGCAAATGCCCCCACCTTTTATCCTTTCTTTAATAAATAACCCACTAAAATCTAAAAGAATTAGGATCTTCCGAAGGTTTGGTAAAAATGGGCATAATGTTGGAACAAAGATGTAGAATCCGACTTTAACGAAACGTATAATGTTTTTATCGATAAAACTTCCAAAACATCTCCAAAACCAAAAGTATGAATTCGGTGCAGTGGTGAAAAGATGCATCTTTCGCAGATAATACTCTCCTCTTTGACTGTTGTAATATCGATCATTTCAATTACATACTTCCTTATGTTGAATATTCCGTTGGCATAGTTTACCACCAGGAACCTATCAAGAACATATCAGGAACCTATCAGGAGCCTTGACCACAGAAGCTGCTCAAGTTCTGCCAAGTGTATGCAACTTTGCCCAATCAGCTACAATTGATGATCATGCTTTCAGTCAGTGGTTGTCAAGGTCCGCACACAATTACTTACAATTTACAAGAATGTTTAGGAGCCTTAGCTCGAGGTTTCGTTAAGGCTTTGGCGGAAAACTCTCACTCACACCATATTTTCACTTGACCAGGTAACCACTGGCTGTTTGAGGTGCTGGGGATGCTCACGACGGGATCTCTTCTTTACAGAAAGTCACTTCCCAGGAGCCAAATGATTGACTTCATATACAAAGACGGCATAGAAAGTCTGCCCCCACCAAGGTTACTCGTTACCCATCTCCCACTGCGCATGCTCCCTACCCAGGTTGTGGAGAAAAAGCTCAAGTGCATCCAGATCAGAAGAAATCCAAAAGATGTATGCGTGTCCATGTATAATAACTTCAGAAACCTCGCTGTCCCGAAGTCCTTTGAAGGAAATTTTGCGGAGTTCACGGAAGCATTTCTGTCGGGTGAAATGTAAGTAACATTGTAGTCGCTGACACTGTTCTCTCAGGAAAACAATCTTAACTTCGCATGGTCGCTACCGGTCCTGTGGGTTTCTTGTGTGACGTGACATGCTCACAATCCTACCAGAGCGCATGCTTTACAGGAGCTTTACAAGAAGAAGGGTTCACAAGTTGCAAGTCCTAGAACGGGTTCACTCGTTACAAGCGTTAGGAACGGTATATATTTGTAACAGGGTAGCTGGGTAACATTCGCTCTCTTTGCCTCGTCCGCCCAAAACCAGTGCCTTCTTCCCACACAGCTACCATGCAAGTGCTGCTCAGTTGTCCATGAACTGTAATGTTTTGTCATATACTCGGGGAGTAATAGATCCATTTCAGCTTAATGCAAAATACCCCAGCTTCCCAAGTATCCATTTTAAAGAGATATATTGCATATATTCTTAAAATCACTGTCATAATTCTGACACCAGTTAGGCTTTTCCGAATCCAATACCATCAGTGAATACATGAGACACTGGAGTTAATCACATGTTGACCCAGAAAATCTCCAAATAAACTTTGTGATAATAGGATGCTAATGGTAGGATATGGTTAATCTTTCTGCGAGCACCAAATGACAAAGCTGGTTTTCAGTCACTCATTCACATAACTTTCACCTTTATTTTCTTTGCAAACTTTGTCCCAAATTGTGTCAAAAGAATTTCGAATCTCCCATCATAAATATCTCCTGCATATCGAGCAATAGACCATGAATAATATCCAGTAAGGAGGTGGATAAGTACATCTTTCATTACAGTTGACGTGACCATTATATTGAATGATCAAAAAAAATGTCCTTAACCATACACACACACTGTCATTGATGATTCAGTACCATTGGGATCCTACCACGGTTATCTCAATAGCTGGACTACAGAAGTGTCCCTGAACAACCGGTGTTCTATCTGTACTATGAGGATATGAAAGTCGTAAGTGTACACTGTGTTTTTCGTAGAAGATTAACTGTCATATGTGGTTTGGTGTTAAGTTTTCTTATATATATACCTGTTTACATTTAGTGTTTGTCGTGAGAGGGAGCTAGTCATCTCATCTCCATGCTCACCCTCACCCCACACCAACTAACATTTTTCTTGTGATAGAATTACTCATATATTCGAGAAAAAATGTGTTTCAAAATAACACAATACATGTTTATTACAGCACACTAAAATGTTACAAAGATTTAAACAATTAAGAAAAGAGAATCAAACATGTATGTATGTTACTGCACTTTCCCAACGATTTTCAACATGTGTGGATTTGTATTTGTATCAGAATCCCCTAAAGTGTGTTAAAGACATGGCAAGGTTTCTGGATCTAGACGTCACAGACAAATTCTGTGAGGACTTGATCGAGGCGTGTTCCTTCAAGAACCTGAAGGAGAAGGAAGCCAGACATAAGCAGGAGGGTATTGATCCAGGTATTTGGAAGAAAGGAGCTGGTGGGACATTTTACAGGAAAGGTAGGCTTCACGCATGCGTCATAGTCAGACAACAAATTGAACAAACTCGCATATTTGAAGGACAAGGATGGAAATGGTATTTACGCTTTCGGGTTTTCCAGCAGACCTGTCTTCCAAATCATAGATACATTTTATAACTCTGTCGATAAAGATACCTACATGAAAGGTAATTTTGATATATTAACACAGCTTTGATGAAAAACAAACTTTAGACGTTGGAGTCAGATACATGTTGTCAAAGCTATTCAGTACTGGAAACTATCATCGAATTAACGCTTCTTTAACGTAAAGTGATAGCTGAAAACAAGGGATTCGAACGAATGATCAACGCAGGAACACAACAGGCCCCTTTGCCTTCAGTACTCCGCCCTTGCAACTGAAGTACAATTGATGTTGGATGCCATTTAGGTCTTTGAACCCACGCATATCCATATATTTCAGGTGAAATCGGAGACTGGAAGAACTGGTTCACTGTAGCAGAAAACGAGAGATTTGATCAAATATGGGATGAGAAGATGAAGAATTCAGGCATGAAATTTATATATTCCGTTTAAGGATGCATTTGAAAATCGTGCTGTGATCGAGGCCATAGCCAGTGAACCACAGAGGACGGCATGATACTATATATATAGTTTCGTTCAACAGCTTTCATAAGAGTGCTTTTCTTCTCGTGTATCTTTCTTTTGTAGTACTTACATCCCAGCGAAGGGCATGTGCACCTAAAGCGTTAAACGGAAGGGGAAAGGGTCGAACAGGTTACGGATAAATCTATATAACATACAAGGAAGGCGTAAGCATGGCTGGAAAAGTTACGAGGGTGAGCCTGCTTTCGAATCATTACTGAACAAATGTAGCCGGAAAGTCGGTGAAAGTTTCAGGAGAGTTTCCGGCAGCCAGCATGTTCGACAATAAACAATTCCATCATGTTCTTTCAACGAATATTACCAGATATTTTACCGTTAGTGATCTGTTAACTTGTGATTGGCTGACTACTGATATAGCATGTAACTATTATGTCAGCTCGCGATGGGTTACCTGCCTTTTCCGTTAGTGACTTCTTTATGTGTAGTGTGATAACCCCTGATAATTGCGTATGAATACATTGACAAACACTCACACAAGACAGATTTTTTGTTTCTCAAACCTGTCATTTCAAATACGAAATGACTACATAATAGTTTTGATTTGATTGTGTTCGCTTGTCAATGCGTATGGCAATTTAACAAACAGAAATGATATCCAAGTAAATGAAATACGTTTCTTGTATGTATTGAATATCTGCAGTAACTAAATGCAGCTGTGTTGAATAAATAAATAAATATCGTTACCACATTCTCAGTGCAGTGTAATAAAGTGTAGTTATGACCAGGACTGTTATAGTTAGGGCACGAGGACGTCGGCAACTGACAGAAATTGACGGCTTGCAGTGTGAAATGGCGTCGCCCTGAGATGTTCAGGGCCGTAGAAAGAACCTGAATAATGGTTGTTCTTGTTGTTCTGGTTTAAACGTCGTTATATAACGTTTGAAGCACTGGTCTTTCCTGTGGCCATACAAAGACGTCAGGCATAAGGCACTAATGCCCGTCCGTAGCTGATGTGACAAGGAGAATTCGGTTTGTGTATGATGAGGATGTTGCATGGGAGATTGTTAACATAATCTGGCGTTAATTCTTCCCAGAGAGTTATATTGGATAATAATCCTAAACTCAATTTCGCCAATATGGAATTGCCATGCATGCACCATCATGAAATGAAACATTACAGTGTTTTCAGGATACGTAACATCAATAAATTTCCAAGACATTTCATTGCTGATACAGTGCTCTGTCTGCTACATATTCTAGGACGTGTCCTCAGGATGAAATCATGTATTGTCTCATAGGCAGATCCAGACGGGGATTGCAGGGGTGCGTAGACCCCCTCCCCCCTTTTGTCCTGAAAGTGTATTAAATGACCATTGAAACTCAGGTTGAAATGAAGTGTGCAACCCCCCCCTTTTTTTCTCAATAGTGTACACCCCCTTTCTTATAAAGCTGCATCCGCCCCTGTGTTTAGGGATTTAATTTCCAGGAACAAGATATTTTTAAAGACCATTAAATCCAGGCCTGCTCTTCGGACAGTCACAGTGAAGTAAATATCCAGGATGTCAGGGCATATTGTATAATATCCAAGGGATTTGACATATGGAAATTCTATGTCAGTTCTATTCTAAGGACGACGTTTTGACATTAAAACATAACAAAGAAAAACAAAGACATGACACATCAGTTGGAAGTTTAATCTTGATTTCCAAATGTGTTGTTGTATGGAGGGATACATCTAGGAAGGGTAGGTGTTGGTTAGACTTATTAATTTAATTTACCAATTTTAATTTGGTCTCTTTGTCCTTGTATTTATTATTATTAGGCCTGGCTTCCATTTGTGTTCTTACCACCCTGTTACAGTACAACCAGAAATTATTGAGAATTTAAAGATTGTAAATGTTTGTATTTTTTTCACTTATTACTCACGTATTAATGTGAATAGTAGCAGAACAGAACTCCAGATTCAAAGACAGGTGAACAGTTTGTATTTTGTCAAGTCACCATGGGCAGCAATGCAGGCTTCAATGCGGCGGGGCATACTACTGATCAAAGAAGTTAGAAAGTCGTGGTCCATGCTGTCCCAATATCGGACCACCTCTTCTTTCATTTCAGCAATATTTCTCAGATTTTTCTTATGGACACTTTCCTTCATAAGTTCCCAAACATTTTCTATTGGATTTAGGTCAGGGCTATAGCTTGGCCAATCTAATAATGTCATATTGGGGGTTCGAAACCAGGCCTGTGAATGCTTTGAGCGATGTTTTGGGTCGTTGTCCTGCTGGAAAATCCAAACATTTCAATAGAACACGTGAGCAGATGGAAGTAAATGTCCCTCGAGAATAGCTGTGTACCGCTCACTGTTCATATTCCCTTCAAATACACAGCGGGGCGTTGCCCCTAACACAGATATGGCACCCCACGTTAAACTTCGGACTCAGTTTGTTTGGTCTTTGTCCCAGAACTTTATCTGAGAAAATCACTGTCTATTCTATGCTGTAAGCACCAGTTCAACCTTCACTCCTTTTGTTCAGGTTTCATGATCGGTGATGGAATTCCTCGACTTTTGCCAACCCATTGCATGCAAGTTCTAATTGTCTCACTGCATGCAGATCAGTTCTACCAAATTGTCTCCTTACTGCCTCCCTGATGCTCAATGCCATATCCATTTGCAATATGTTTCAAAACACGATTAAAAGAGGACAAGGGGATGCCTGTTCTACTTGAAATCACTTTAGCTGATCTGATGTTCTGTTATAATACTCTAAACTCAACTTCCTCTTCTCTAAATCATCCATACTGAGGATCACTGAAAATGTCGTCTGCTAGTAAGTAAACAAAGGGGGATAACTCTTCACAAACTAATGAAAAAGGATTAACAGAGTTGTCTCTCTTGAATGAATCCAAGCACTTGATAGCTGATCAAGGTTGTTTATACTCGAAATCCAATTACGCATATTCCTAAAATTCTCAATAATTTCTGGTCATACTATATCTGCCACTAATGTTACCTCATCAACTACACCACATGGGCACAATGTGGGAAGCCCATTTCTGGTGTCCCCCGCCGTGATATTGCTGGGATATTGCTAAAAGCGGCGTAAATCTAAACTCAGTCAGTCATCAACTATGCCTGGATTAACAATCACTGGCTTCCTTTTGTCCATCCACCCAGTTAGTGCTAGTTATACCCCCTTGGATTCTATTTGTTTTTCTTATGATGCATGCCTGGATTAACAATCTCTGGCTTCCACTTGTCCATCCACCAATTCAATACTGGTTTCCTTTGTTATACTGTTGTTGTTTCAACATGTACAGATGTATCTGTTTGTTCCTAATTGTTTCATTCACCTGATGAAGGAGTAAGAACATACTTCACAACGTCGTGACCCTTCACAATAAAGAAGTTGTCATCCATAAAACTCTTGTCTTTATGTGTATCACTTCTAAATGCCCTCCAAAGACTTTATTGTCACGTGATCTTTCAGACTAATTGATAAAAACAGTAAAGTGTTGTAACAGTGATCCATCAGTTCTTCACATTCTTTCAAAGAAAACTTGACTCCACAAGCATCTAATGCAAAATGTTTTTACTCCTGTACAATATCTATTAATTCTCATGCCGTTATTTGAGTCAAAGATACGTGTAACTGGTCTAACTTGCTACATCCCTTAACGAAAGAGAAAGCAGATGACGTTAATTGACTGCAGTCAAAAATATCCAAAAACTCCAAGCGAGATATTTGAATCACTGCTAACTGGAGCCTACCTAAATAGGTTGATTTAGGCAACCAGGTCAAGAGAAGCAAATCCACTGATTCAAAGGACACAATTCCATAGCTGATACAAGATACTCTGAAACTCTTTGAATGCGTCAGTGCCTCTTCTAACTGACTTCTGTTAAAGTTTATTTGTCCATCAAATGAAAAAAAGGAAATATTCATTTAACAATACCTACGTTATTCTGCAGTTGTCTGTTATGAATGTTAGGTCTATACTGTTCTATCTCAGAGGTATCCGAAGATAGAATAGTATAGATCTCAGAATGCCAGTGTTATAATTCAATACTTATGTGTTCAATCTCAAACACTAGATTAAATTCTCACCAATGACGTTATTTCTGAACACAATTAAGTGAAAATTACAGAACTATCAAATCATTATGTCTATTATTGAATGAATACGGTAATGCAATGATTTAAGCATTTATTTACCTGATTTTATGAGGATCATCAACATCTCATCCATTCCGTCCAAACATCAAAGAGACCTTTGATCACATGATGCAAATTCACTCAGTTGATTGGATGAAATTTATAAAATTGTATAGAACTGAAATCAAGTGAAGTTTTTCAGCTAGAACAAAATGATTCTGTCTCTGACAGCTTTATTATTGAAGAAATATTATTGATGTAAATTCTATCGTGTAGAGCTCGCCAAGAGCTTTCCAACCGTACCAAAAGATCAATATGACTAATTTTGACGATAGAACAAAATAGTTCTCATGGAGCGATATTTCGAGAAAGTTCAGGTATTTGTGAAAATGGGATCATTTCTGATTTATCAAGATATGCACGTAGGTGAATAACTACGAAACTTTCGTTATTCGCCGTGAGAACCAAATACGTTTTCGGGTTATGACATGTGCAAACAACAAAAGAAACAACAAACAGCTCTGGGTGCAACAACCAAACTCGACTTCGTTTGTTGAATCAGTTATGAACAATAATAACATCAGGTTGTATAAAACTGTCACGGCGCCAGCTACCGTCCAGGGAGATCCAGAATAGTAAGCAAATACACAACTAGATTGTTGATACAACCCATTCTTAAAGCTAAGTACCCGCTCAAGCATGAATGAACTTCACAAGCACAACAACAAGCTGCTAAAAACAACAAGTAAACTAAGTAATCTCGCCTTAATAGGCTAGCTCAGGGATCAGACCATATATTAACTGGTGACACCTGATGAGTGGGGGATAATAAGGACCTAACTACTGCCACACACAGGGAGAGTATCAGGCCAATAAACATTTAACACTCCAAGTGATCAATAGTACAAACAGACCAGAACAAGATATACTATCACAAAAAACAGAGCTCCCAAGTTCCGTCCTCAGGTCGTCCCACGATACGGCGAATGACAAATATGTAGCAGGCCGACATGCACAAAGTAGTCTGGACTTGGACAACTAGTGTGTTTGGACAACTGGCCATGTCCAGCTATAACTTAAACGTGCGGATACGACGCGAGTTGAAAGTTTGCATCCAGCCTCTGACCAGCAAGGAAGTGTGCTAATACTTGGGTACATAAACGACTGTAGCTAACTTGTAAGCGTATGTCCAGTGAAGGGGAATACATGTATATGTATAAGAAGAGCGTGAGCTCTGCTACAAATAGATATAGGTTAGCAAACACCCTGGTAAAATAAGGGGTATACATATAGGTTGGAGCGGCATAAACGCTTATATATCCCTTCTAAAAACAGATACAGCGACGGGAGTCACATATACAACAAGTGTTTGGCTCTGATATGGCAATGTCCCCCGCCGCTAAAGAATGGAATATCTATATTTAATGCTATTTATTTTGGGGTCACATACAAGATGCCTGAAATGACAGGTGTCTGCCTAATCACCTAATGTAGGCTGTCAACATAATTGTAAACATTGGGTGCAGTGTTTTATGAGATATCACACTTAAATAAGTTTGAAATGAGATACCACGTTAACAACAGTTTGAAAAGTGGTCAAAGTGTCGGGGTGACCTTGACAATACGGTCAAGGTCACCCAAATCGACTGGTGTCTGCGAAATCCCCCAATGTAGGCTGTCACCAAATTTGAAGACATTGGGTACAACAGTTCATGAGATATCGCGTTAACAAGAATCGGGACGTACGGACGCCGCTGAATACATAGTCCCATGTTGCATAACACACACGCGAGTCGCGTGACAAAAACATATATACATATGTCATCGCATTCATTTAAATTCATTATCTCTGCCCGACTGAGCATAATTTGCTCAGTGATATGTTTTCAGTAAATAAATAAAAAATAATGACAGGTGATGCAATCCTTTGTTGAATCATTTATAAACAATGATAACATCAGCTTGTGTAAAACATGTATTCATGTGTCATCGCATTCATTTATATTCATATCGGTTATCTCTGCCCTACAAAACTTAATAGGCTTAGTACGATATGTTTTCAGTAAATAATTGAAGAATAATGACATGCGGTGCAAACTACAGATGCGTATCTGAAAATATAGGTTTGTGAAAAGCTCACATTTGAAGGCGGCACTATGGCCAAGCAGACCGCGGGGCTAAGGTAGGCTTGAAACATAATTTGTATGTGATTGTGACACTTATTTGCATGTAACATGTGTAAGTGCCTGCTTTCTAGCAATCACTTGTATCGGTCGCTTGTGCTGCCAGCAGTATATTACCTCTGACGTCAATATATCAGACCAAGGAGTTGGCTTTACCTTCAGTAGCTCTTGCACATTGAATTTAGTTTTGACACTTAAGTAATAAAATGCGTGCTCTTGTTACGTGGTTGACGTGGACAGTTCTTATGCGTCACATATGGAGCGATTAATGTCGTACTGGGGAACGTCGATGACTGATTTGATTGCACACACAAAAATAAACTATACTTTGTTTTGTGCACAGACCTGACCCAGAGTCAGAATGTACGACAGCCCCCGAGGTAATGGTGGTGGATCTCACCAACTCCAAGGGACATGGCTTCAGGTGTTATCAGTACGAGGGTATATATTGGAGTTTGTGGCCTCGTCCAATATACAAAGGGAAGAACCCAATTGAGGAATTCAAACGTCTGAAAGATTGCACAATGGAAGAAGATGACGTCATAATATGTGCTTATCCGAAATGTGGTATTATGGCATCTACATTCCTCAATATATCACAGTACTGTACAAATGTAAAAAATCTTCTATTTATAAGTGAGTGAGTGCGTGAGTGAATGAGTTAAGATTTATAATCACGTCAACAATATTTCAGCCATATCGTGGCTAAATCAAGTTCTAGATTTATAATACTAATTAGATCACCATACTAGGGACTATGGGGACTTACATTACTTTTGCTTCCTGCATGGACCCAAGCTGGATTTACACCATCCCTGCAGATGTTAGCAATGTTTGACCATTTAGCCATAAATCAAAATGACATATTGCTCCATAAGAACTATTTTGTTCTATCGTCAAAATTAGTCATATTGACCTTTTGGTACGGTTGGAAAGCTCTTGGCGAGCTCTACACGATAGAATTTACATCAATAATATTTCTTCAATAATAAAGCTGTCAGAGACAGAATCATTTTGTTCTAGCTGAAAAACTTCACTTGATTTCAGTTCTATACAATTTTATAAATTTCATCCAATCAACTGAGTGAATTTGCATCATGTGATCAAAGGTCTCTTTGATGTTTGGACGGAATAGATGAGATGTTGATAATCCTCATAAAATCAGGTAAATAAGTGCTTAAATCATTGCATTACCGTATTCATTCAATAATAGAAATAATGATTTGATGGTTCTGTAATTTTCACTTAATTGTGTTCAGAAATAACGTCATTGGTGAGAATTTAATCTAGTGTTTGCGATTGAACACATAAGTATTGAATTATAACACTGGCATTCTGAGATCTATATTGTTCTATCTTCGGATACCTCTGAGATAGAACAGTATAGACCTAACATTCATAACAGACAACTTCAGAATAATGTAGGTATTGTTAAATGAATTTCCTTTTTTTCATTTGATGGACAAATAAACTTTAACAGAAGTCAGTTAGAAGAGGCACTGACGCATTCAAAGAGTTTCAGAGTATCTTGTATCAGCTATGGAATTGTGTCCTTTGAATCAGTGGATTTACTTCTCTTGACCTGGTTGCCTAAATCAACCTATTTAGGTAGGCTCCAGTTAGCAGTGATTCAAATATCTCTCTTGGAGCTTTTGGATATTTCTGACTGCAGTCAATTAACGTCATCTGCTTTCTCATTCGTTGAGGGCTGTAGCAAGTAAGACCAATTATACGTATCTTTGACTCAAATGACGCCTTCAGAACTGATAGATATTGTACAGAGGTTAAAACATTTTGTATTAGATGCTTGTGGAGTCAAGTTTTCTTCGAAAGAATGTGAAGAACTGATGGATCACTGTTACAACACTTTACTGTTTTTATCAATTAGTCTGAAAGATCACGTGACAACAAGGTCATTTGAACAGCAAATAGAAGCCCGTTATTATGACTGCCACTTTGTTATTCACAAGCACCCTCAACATGGATCAGTCAGCAGCTGTGGATCTATGGAACAAAATGATGGAGTATGATGGTGATGCTGCTGACGATAATGAGGTTTGAGTGTGTTTAGGTGATGTTTTTATCACTCCTGTTATAGATTTCTCTGAAACGGAAACATATAAAGATCGGGCAGATGTGTTGATGCCAGGGGTAGAAGTTGTTGAAGAGTGTGTATTATCAACAAACTATGATCATTTGGAAGAGAACGCTTCTGACACGGATGACGATGATGATTCTTTATATTGTCCAGAGGAAAGTTTGGATGACTCGGAAAATGAAGAAGTAATCCAGAGAAGAAACAAACAAACAGTGAATAGGAACAAGCTATTGAAACTGAACATAACATTAACGAGGAACAGCCAAGGGTCCGAAAGCGTACAATAAACAAAGATCAGTGGAAAGGCAATGTTAGAAAGCGGAAAACACATAGTGGACAGGAATATGTAAATTCAAAGGGGAATGTAGAACCAAGACGAAAGATTAAGACAAAGAAGGACTGTCCAGGAAGATGTAAATTTAAATGCAGCCAGGTAATATCCTCAAACAAACGACATGAAATATTTGAATCTTTTTGGAAGTTAGATGACTCAGAAAAGTCAGTATTTTATGGCAACACAACCAAAAGAAACCAAACAAAAAGGAAGTCTGAAAAGTCACCAGGTAGGAAAAGATATACCATTCAATACGTTTTCATTGTTGATGAAAAAACCCTCCGAGTGTGTAAAGAGTTCTACCTTACATCCCTGGATATTAGTCACACGAGGATCTCTTACTTTCATGAACAGGTGACAGGAGATGGAACTCCTAAACCAGAGAGACGTGGAAAACATAGAAAAACTAGTGTTCCTGAGGACATGAAAGAATGAGTAAGAAATCATATAAAACCATTTCGCAGAATGCCATCACATTATTGTAGAGCTAGAAGCTCAAAGGAATTTCTGGAGTCTGGTCTTTCTCTTCCTATGATGTACAATCTATATGTGCAAAAATGTCTGAATGAAAATCAACAACCTGTCAAAGAACATATGTACCGGAAGATTTTTGACACAGAGTTTAACATTGGTTTTTACGTTCCTGAAAGGTCGGTGTGACCTCTGTGCAACATATGAAATAGCAGAAAAGAATGGAACTGTTACCCCAGAGCTTACAGAAACATTCAATGCTTGTCTTGAATCGAAAATGCTACGAGAGCAGAAAGAAATTCTGACAGATCATGTGATATCATGCCCAAGAGCCAACGCATCCAATATTTTCTACAAGTGTAAACTAAATGCATTTAATCTCACAGCTCACAGTTCACTTTCACCACATGCTTACTGTTGCATCTGGCATGAAGGAATTGCCGGCTGTGGCGGTAATGAAATCGCAGAGCAGGAAACCAAAGAGCTTGGATAAATTTAACATCGATAGTGTGAAGATTGGTTCAGCTAACATCACACCGTCAGCTTTGATAAAAGATCTTGGTGCTTATATTGATTCGGGCCTGTCTCTAGATTCGCATGTGGATAAGTTGTGTCATACCTGCTATTACCACCTCAGACTCATTGGGACGATTAGGAAGCACATCACAATGGAAAGTGCCCCCACTCTTGTGAGATGCCTTGTAACATCCAGATTGGATTACTGTAATAGCCTTCTATACGGACTCACCAACGGACATCTCAATAAACTACAAAAAGTCCAAAATACAGCAGCACGTATTATATCCCTTACCACTAAACGAGACAATATCACCCCTGTACTCTCATCATTACACTGGCTTCCAATCAAGTTCCCGGATTGACTTCAAACTTCTTTGCATTGTGTATAAATGTTTGCATAATCAAGCTCCTTCATATCTCTCTGAACTTCTCACTGTGTACTCCCCTACCAGAACTCTCAGATCTCAAGACCAATGTCTTCTCTCCGTTCCCAAAGTTCTACTTTCTTCTTTTGGCAAGAGGTCTATCCAGTACGCTGGTCCTATTCTGTGGAATTCTCTCCCTCTCCACATAAAGCAGTCATGCACATTGGAAACTTTCAAAATTAAGTTGAAGACTTTCTTTTTTTCCAAAGCCTATCCCTAAAATCAATCTTTCTGTCATCAATTTTAATGTATACATATTTTACTATTTTATCCTCTGTATGTATTGTATGTATGCTTTTATGTAGCGCCTTGAGCATGTATCAGTGGGTGGAAAATGGCGCGCTAAAAATATCCATTATTATTATTATTATTAAGTTGTGTGATTGCAGTACTAGAAAGATTTGTGGAAAGTCACCCCAATGTGAAACACTTAGTATTATGGTCGGACTCCTGTGTTCCCCAGAACAGGAACTCGATGATGCTTACAGCACTGAAGAACTTTATTGTTCGATCTGACCTCAAAACAATTGTCAAGAAATTCTGTGAGCCGGGTCATTCATCAATACAAAGAAGTCAACAGTGTCCACAGCAAGATTGAAAAAACACTGAAAGCCACAGAAGTTTATAGTTCACAGCGCTTTATCCGTGTACTAAAGTCTGTTACAGCCAAAGTTGGCACAGTAATTATTTCTTAGAACGGTTGATAGCCATGTTTAATTAATTATGTTTATTATTGTCTAGAAATGTTTATAAGCCAAGGCTGGCTTTCAAACATTTGGCCTACTTATTTTTATCCTTTTCATAAAACCCAAAACAGTAGGCTGAGCAGAGATTATTTTTGTATTCTCTTGTTATTGAGTTGTATTATTTACTTAAATACTTTTTTATAACTAAACTTTTTCACCAACCTTGAACCTTTACGATTTTCTTTGACTCAATATTAATAACACCTTTGGATAAAACAACAACTCCACGCAATGCCCATATTTATCGTATGCTTTCATTGTAGACGATTGTTTCTGAATTATAGATTACAAAGAAAATGAAGAAAAAAATAGACCATTATAAGACTTAAAATATGCATAAAAAGGAATAGAATAGTTTAAGATTTTAGCTCAAGCGTTCTATCTCAATCATTAAATCTTCGTGTCCCTTAAATTACGTTGAAATGAGGGATTAGATGAGTAATTTTATTAAACTCACACGGAATGAATACCAAAAAGCCATTTGCAGCGAGATAATATTGAAAATTAAATAATACCATTATTTCAAAATTTCAAACTCAAATTTCAACAAATTTCAAAAATGGCAGAGAGAATAAACTAGTTCTCATGGAGCAATATATACTGATTAAAAGTAATAGTAAGCTTGAATTTACTTTAATTCTTTGGGGACTTACATACCCTCTCAGTAGGACAATAATTTTATATTACTAACCCCCTGGGAGTACGGTCATTTACAAGAGGTTGATGAAGCTACCTACATGGTAACGTATACGCATATGCACATACGCACATCAGCTTTAAGAGTCGCCACGAGTGTAAGTATGACACCACCCAATGTAAACGTCTACTTGGTTTTTTTCCGTGTCGATCACTACTTCAAACACTAACAGTGTTTTCTTCTTGAAGAAAGAACAGAATTGTCAGCAATGCAATAGTTATCAGGACATCCGGGCATGTAAGGCAAACGACTGTTTCATTCCACAAAATGTGTAGTAAAAGTAATTTTCCAGTATTTTCACTCCCTATCACAAAGTCAAGTAATTGGTTAGTCCCTTCACTTTGACATATGAGCATGTGTGATCATTGTGCTTCTTTATATAACGCGAACAAAAGTGAAATGTAACCTTTAAAAAGCATTGCATTGCATGTTGTTCCCACTATGAAGAACATAACAGCAGAACGTTTTCCTAAGATAATTGGCCTTCCAAGTCAACGCATCTCATTCCAGTTTTACTTAAAGTCATCTTTTGATAGGAACCCATTGGTTGTGGGAGATAACCGAGATGCTCAAAAGTGGAATCATTCGGAATACGAAGGAGGTGAAAGAGACCAGGATGATAGAGTTCATACAAAAAGACGGAATCGAAAGTCTCCAAAAGCCGAAGATTCTGAATACACACCTTCCTCTTCGCATGCTTCCTACACAGGTCGTGGAGAAAAAGATCAAGTGTATCCAGATCATACGCAATCCCAAAGATGTTTGTGTATCCTTTTTCCACCACAAAAGGGACACGTTATCTTCCATTGGATATGATGGAGACTTCTTGGAGTTCACAGAGGCGTTTTTATCTGGGAAATGTAAGTTTTGTTTGTGATGGATACAAATTATTGAGAAACCAATGTTCCACCACATCACTTCCGCATTAACCGGTTTACTTTCAGTGCCGTTTGGATCCTACTACAACTACCTGATGACATGGCAGAAAGAGACAGCCAGAGAACCGAGCCTACCTGTGCTCACCCTGCACTATGAAGACATGAAGCTGGTGAGTATGGTGAAATAATCTGTCGGATCATGCAGTACTTTACACTAGGTGGAAAACCCTTTTGGATAAAACATGTAATGAACTCAAACTCTTCCAGATTTCAGTTTTTACATTGCTTAAAATCTGATGATATATCTGTTTTTACATGTGGTCTTGTATGAACCGGGAATTCCCGTATTTAGGCCCATGGGCTAAAATATGGGATTTGACCGTATTTAAGCACGTGGGCTTAAATTTGGATTTAATTCTTGCGTGTTTAGAGTCACGTCCCTTTCCAAAGGCATGGTGAACCTCGACGTTTTCAACTTTAGTAGTCCTGTGCGAGGTTATCACGTTTACAGGACATTTTGGACACTGATTACAGAGCAGTTATTAGTGACAGAAATCGATCATCTTAATCCCTACGATGTGCATGCAGTTGCAGTTAAATTGAACCATGTGGTCATTCAATTTGAATTTATAGACATGTTTCCTGATAAAAGCGTTTTAAAACAAAATCTTGTTGTTTTTCAACATATTGCACATTTTTTAATTTAAGCCCTGGGCTTAAATATGGTTAAAATATTTCTTCACTAAAACAGGGATTTTCCGTATTTAAGCCCCGGGAATTCTCGGTATGGTGTGTAATGAGAAGTTATGTGTTGGGACATACAGCTGACTGAATACTGGACACTTTGATTGGCTGGGGACTTATTGAAAAGGACACTTTATGTCCTGAGTGCCTTTCATGTATTTCTGCGTCAAATACTCTTTGAATGTACATACTTTGATAAATATGTATTATTGAGACAGCAATGGACACGAGTTCAGTCATACATTGATATAGTATGACCAGGAATTATTGAGAATTTTAGGAATATGTTGAATTGGATTTCTAGTATAAACAACCTTGACCAGCTATCAAGTGCTTGGTTTCATTCAAGAGAGACAACGCCGTTAATCCGTTTTCATTAGTTTGTGAAGAGTTATCCCCCTTTGTTTACTTGCTAGCAGACGACATTTTCAGTGATCCTCAGTATGGATGATTTAGAGAAGAGGAAGTTGATTTTAGAGTATTATAACAAGAACATCAGATCAGCTAGAGTGATTTCAAGTAGAACAGGCATCCCTTTGTCCACTGTTTATCGTGTTTTGAAAAATGTTGCAAATGGATATGGCTTTGAGCACCAGGGAGGCGCAGGTAGGCTAAGAAAATTGACTGTCGGTGACAGGAGGCGGCTTGGTATTCTTGTTTCTAAAAACAAACGAAGGAGTTTAGAAAACTTCAGGCTGGATATGATTGATAGAGGAACTGTGGCTGTCTGTAAGGAGACAATTAGAACTGAGTTGCATGCAATGGGTTGACAGAAAAGTCGAGGAATTCCATCACCGATCATGAAACCTGAATGAAAGGAGTGAAGGTTGAACTGGTGCTTACAGCATAGAAATTTTAACTGGGACAATGTGATTTTCTCAGATAAAAGTTCTGTGTGGCTGTTTCCTAATACACTGAAATTCTGGACCAAACAAACTGAAAAACCTTTGTATCAGCGCCCAAAGTACAGTCCGAAATTTAACGTGTGGGGTGCCATATCTGTGTTAGGGGCAACGCCCCTCTGTGAATTTGAAGGGAATATGAACAGTGAGCGGTACACAGCTATTCTCGAGGGACATTTACTTCCATCTGCTCACGTGTTTTATGGAAATGTTTGGATTTTCCAGCAGGACAACGACCCAAAACATCGTTCAAAGCATTCACATGCCTGGTTTCGGACCCCCAATATGACATTATTAGATTGGCCAAGCTATAGCCCTGACCTAAATCCAATAGAATATGTTTGGGGACTTATGAAGGAAAGTGTCAATAAGAAAACTCTGACAAATATTGCTGAAATGAAAGAAGAGGTGATCCGATATTGGGACAGCATGGACCACGACTTTCTAACTTCTTTGATCAGTAGTATGCCCCTCCGCAGTGAAGCCTACATTGCTGCCCATGGTGACTTGACAAAATACTAACTGTTCACCTGTCTTTGAATCTGGAGTTATGTTCTGCTAATTTTCACATTTAATACGTGAGTAATGAGTGAAAATATAAAACAATTTAGAATCTTTAAATTCTCAATAATTTCTGGTTGTACTGTATATATGATTAATGGCTGATGGAGGCAGGACCTGTGACTAAATGAAACCTGCAAACAAGTGTATGATGCTGATGCATCATGATGCATATCTAGGCGCGATGCAGAACAAATGATTTTATGTCAGTATTAAATCCTCATTTCTATGAAAATTTTACTCATGTCTGCATAACGAAAGGTAAGTCATGTAAATTATAGTAATGACAAACGGAGATTGATAGCTTTCTGGAACTGGCTGGACTCACAAAAAATGGACAAAAACGAAGAGTCACATCAATACCAATTCACGTTCCTGTGTCGAAACTTAAATTGAGTATCCTGACACGACGAACGAGTGCAACCCTATACAGACAAGTGTGGCCCAAATAGATCATCCTGATCCAGTGATGAACGGGAACCACTGTAGCAGAACGTATGGTTTTCAGTTAGACACAATGTTGAATACAGTCCTGCCTTTGACATTACTTTTTTCCATACAGGCACACCGAAGCACACAATTAGTATTTTTTTTTTTTTCCTGGAGACATATTTCAGTCTCAAGAGATCCTAAAGCTACGAATCCTCGGATGGGTAGGCCGAACGTTTACATTATAAACGATGTCCTACTCACTCACGCACTCTCTCAGTACAAGTGTATTACTCTCTACCTCACATTTTGTTTGTATTTTGCAGGATCCCATCAAGTGTATACGAGACATTGCCACCTTTCTGAATCTTACTGTCACTGATACCTTCTGTAAAGGTATAGCCGAGGCGTGCAGCTTTGATAAAATGAAGCAGTTTGACAAAGAGGAGAAGCACAAGCCTTTCTCACTTTGGAAGGAGGGTTCCGCGGGGGGTCCTTCTATAGAAAAGGTAACTCGTTGAATTGACTAGGTGGATATAACTGTGTGTATAATATGGATATGTTCTGTGGGATGGGTTTACTCCCACCATAAACTGTATTTTATCGACGTGGTGGTAGGGATGTATTTTAGACAATTATCAACTTGGATGAATGTGAAATCCTCTATCGCTACAGCCGAACAACCAGGAATCGTTATCAGTACAAATCTTACACACCAACAGTTGCTCTTGATGGTTCCAAGAACAGATCACTTTATAGCTACTTGTGATACCTCGAGCTTAAGATATGAAGAGTATTTAAGAATTTAATTTATACAATATTCGTTCTACATTTGATAACTAACGGAAAGTCTGAAACTAAGTCAAATCAGAAAAAAATAATTCTTGTACAGTCCATCCGTTTTGAAACTTGTGTTTGTGTTCCCCAAATACCACTGATGGAATTAGGTTAAAGATTTGCTTTCCTTTTGTATTTTCTTTCAGGTGAAGTTGGGGACTGGAAGAATTGGTTCACGGTTGCAGAGAACGAGAAATTTGATTATATTTGGAATGCCAAAATGGATGGCTCTGGTATCCAATTCATGTATACATTATAAAGAGTCACATCTTCCATATTCCAGCCATATTGTGGCTCAAACAAGTTATACATTTAAAAATACATCCTGGTAAAAACTGTAAAGACAAGAAGGACATCACAGATTTGGATGTAAAACTAGGTTGTAAATCTAAAACCTTTTTACTATTAAGACACTACATTATAAAACAGGCTAAGAATTGAAGGTAGGTCACCATGCTAGATACCACGGGACTTACTGTACTTTTCCTACCTGTATGGGCCCTAGCTGGATCTACACCATCCCTTCAGCTAATGGCCATTGTGCTCAAATTTGGCCGTAATTAAAAGAAAAATACCCAACGATTAAGAATCTTGTAGGCTTACATCTACTTTGAATGCTTTGGGACTTACGCACCCTCTTAGAAGGACAGTGGTTTTACAGCACTTATTATATAACCCCCTTTTAGTTTCAATTACCAATACTAAAGCGTTATTGATCTTTTTACAAAACATATTAATCAATGTTTTTCAATCAGTTCTCTTTCTCCTTAAAAACAATAATTCAATTGCAATAACCATTATCGCAAAGATGTTTAGCTGTTTTTAAACTGAAATGTTGATCCCTTCTGGTGGCAAACCATGCAGTCAAGTAAGACATGTTTGACCGTGGTTCTTTCATCATAATGATACAAAACGGAGGATCCTCAGCTTTGGATAAATATTCATGAGTATATCTCGCTTGACCAATATGACATCGTCGCATAATGACCTCTTCAAATCTGGAAAGACAGCCCAAGTAGTTTGTTGCATGTAATGTATTTATACATACCCGGTTGTCACACTTCTCAAGCATTATGATGGATGTAATATCTATTAACAGCTTCGTCGCATAATGCCCTCTTCAGATCTGGACTGACAACCTAGTAGGTGTAACTGATATTTGGTTTAATTTCATATAATTTATCTATATCTATTTGAGTGACCTACAGTTTTTGCATTACTCCACAGAGATCAGATCTAATAACAGCTTTGTAATCGCTGTATAAATGAGAAATGGTGTCACAGATTTGCTGAGAGCTGATTTACCTGCAGCATCAGCATCATGCATTGTGTTACCCGAAAATAGAGCTGGTAATCTTGAAAATGTTGTTCCTGATCCAGTGACAGTGCCAGATCCAACTGCGCCACCACCCATCTATAAATAAAGATTTGCATGCATTATATTTACTTCTTAACTGATGATTAAAATATTGTCTATTGTAATTCATTTGTTTCTGGTTTCTTGAAAGTAGTGATAGGGCTACTTGTGGCTTGCTCAATAGCCAAGGAGGGGAAGGAAGGAGATATATATCCTAGCTTGATGAGAACAGCAGAACTGAAAGGTTTGTTTCTTTTTCGGCATAAGAGAAGATTGTGTCTATTATACAGATCCTCATAAAGAGGATTACAAATACTGTTATATGCGCGGTTGGACTCATTAGAATAAAGTCATACTGCAAAGATAATTTGATACAGTGATGTTTTGAAGATGGCCTATCGGACTTAACATTTATAAGGACTATCAACAGAAGTTCGTAAGAGTCCAAGACAAGGTGTTAGACCTTAGTGGTGGACAGAATCAAGTAGTTTAATGTTTCTTTTACAGGCTCCACCATATACGATGGAGCCGAAATTGAGTTTTCAGCGTATCAGTGATCTCCTCACCACTTCGAATTGGAAAGGACTCTCACTATGTCCAATCCCTTCAGGCATTGAGCTTTAAGGTATTTAATATACGGCTGAAAACTGAGTCGATAATAACACCCAAGAACATGGCCTCTTTCTTGGTGTGAAATTTACAAACAGTTAAGTTTTTATGTGGCTTTTACCTTCTGCAGAAATGTATACAATACGTTTTTGATTTAGAAAGTTGAAAACAGTTTTTAATCTATTTGAGTCATACCTGTAACTGCCTCCCGATTGTATGCATAGTTTTACCACGACAAGAATCATAAAATCACATATAAAAAGTCCACAAACTGAAACACGTAAAACCTGTGAAAGACTATGTATTGTTGTACTAAATAACGTGACAGATCAAGTACTGCCTTGCGGAACACCCTGATCCTGATTATCAGTCTGTAAAAAACTAAGATATAAAGTGAGGTAAACGACCCCCCAAACCTCTTATAGGTCATCGTGGACCATCCAATCAAATTCAGTATACAAGGTGGAACATTATCTCATTTCTCCTTTAAGTTGTTAGCATTCCATTCAGACTATATTTTCACAGAATGAAGCAATTGTTTACATTATCATATTGGAAAGGAACTATTGAAAATATATTCAATGAAGACGATCAATCAGTAGTAAGACAACATATTATGGATGTCAACTTCTTCTTTATTGTATACACACATTTCTGGGCTTTTCCTTGCCCCTTCGTCAGCTGAATTCAGAACAAGCTCATTCATAAAGAATATAAACATGGCTTAAAACGCACCCTAGTCTTACCCTAGTAGAGGTGCTAAAAAGGAAGTGTTAGAGCAACCAGCTTTTACACCTGCTTTTACATATCCATACATACTTTTTAACAGACTGTACATTTTACGGCATCCTTTTTGTAAGAGTAAATAGAGCATTTTCCTATCAACATGCCGCCTTATCCTGGGGCTTTTCCTGATATTAAATCCTCAATAGTGTCCTGGATTTCTTTCTCACTAATGCGACTACGTAACAGTTCGTCAGTAAATGGTAATTCGTTACAATCATGAATGGCTTTCGATAAAATCTAAAACTGAATAATCAAATGTCAAATGATGAGTTCATACGGGTTTATCAAATTCTTGAAATAGGCATAACATACTTCTGGGGTATAACATGATTAACCTTGCAGTTAAAAGATATATCCGTGTGCTTTGAATTATTTTCTTTAACTTATTCGTCATTCCGGAGTGTCTTTTCTTCAAAATCCAAGCGTAAGGACCAATTTAGCGAGGAGGAAATTTCGGATACAGCATAAATGGTATACATAGTGAATGCTCACAACCATGTACATGACATACACCTTTTGAAAGTAAAGTCACCAGAAATCATGTAAATAAAGATGTGTTATACGAGGATAATGTTACAGAGATAGACAAGAAGAATATGGCGTACATTCCTCAGATAAATATAGTGTGATAGACATATTTAATATTAACATTGTCAGTTTGAGTTTATTTATTTCTATGCCATATAGCAGGAATATTGCTGAGTGCGGCGTAAAACTAAACTCACTCACTATTTATTTCTATTATTGTTCTGTTTATTTATTTAATCGTTTATGCTTTATTGTGTGTGTGTGTGTGTGTGTGTGTGTGTGTGTAGTATGTGGTAATCAGTGAGCAAACGATAGATGTTTTGGTCAATACTAAATGGAGTGAGTATTATAAGCTAAATACCAGCCTCAAAGTTGTATTCATGAAGTACGTTACAACCGATGTTCAAATGGCAGTTAAAGTGAGTGAGTGAGCTAATATTTAACGTCACATCGGCAATATCTCAGCCATTTCGTGACGGAAACAGTTAATACAATAAAAAAAATTAAAACATTTTGGAGAGTAAAACCTGTCGACGATGGACAGTAAAATCACTACAGTATCACAGATATGAACATAAAACTAGCATTGAAAGCTAAAAGATTTTAGTTAAAGAAGACAATACCATATAAAACACGGGCTATAGATCGCCAACAACTGAAGGTAGATCACCATACTAGGAACCATGGGGACTTTCATTACTTTTTCCTACCTGCATGGACCCTAGCTGGATTTACAACATCCCTTCATCCCTTTCAAAAGAAAGTACCCCCCCTCCCCCGCCCACGTGCATCAAAGTGATGCACTATATGCCTACATCCCTCAAACCAGTGAAGATCCGGGTTAGAATTGGTCTTCAGCAATTGGTCTGCATAGATCGATGCTAGTGGTGTTGGTCACTGGATTGTCTGGTCCAGACTCGCATTATATAGCTGGAGATTATTTTTAAACGACAGCCATTCCAAAACCAAACCTACCCCCCTCAGGCAGCAGGATAAAGTACGGCCATTTCTCTTATGCAGCAGAAAACAGTACTACACAAACCAGGACTCCCCACTCACTGAGATAAATGTTCCGGTTATCATTAATTTGGCTTGATCCACAAGCAGAAAAGGCCGACACAAGCAGGAAAGGCCTACCTTCCTTCCATTCAGCCACATTTTCATTCGAGCGTTGATACGTGAACTCAATGTACAGGGTGGAATGTTTAACATAACACCTCACAGCCATGACCACGGACCAGCCCAGTGGTGAACCTCCCATGTACGTTTATAAATAAATTGATCCAATAGTACAATCATTTATGATGACATTTATAATTGATACAGTAATACCGCTTGCATAGTGCCTTCTGATGACGCTTAATTAACGATGTTGCAAGACATAAACCACAAGGTTATCTCACTGACATCTTGCACGGTGACCAAAATTCAGGAACTGAATAATCCAGAGTTTGTTCACAAGTATTTATCCAATCGTGCAATCCGTCGAGGTCTTGTATACCGATGCTATTGATGTGCATTATTCAAACAAAAATAAATAGACCATTTACGTTTTGTTTAACTGGAATATATGCTGCAAGCTATTCAGTGTTACATTACACAACACCCATAATAGAATATGCAGGAAACCTAAAACGTGTATATGCATCGATTCACGCTAGTTGAATAACTTGAATAAACGCTTCGCCGGAGTTCCAGCTGAAGCCAGCCAACAGTAGTTGGGATTGTCATTGGCTGGGGCTTTGCTCTGCCTTGGGTGTTTTGGTTTTATTTGCTGCATTCGGTAAACAGATGTTAGCCAAGTATGCATAACTATGCACCCTCACGATCAATGTCCATTATGACTGTGACTGTCAATATCTGTGTTATGGGGTCGTTAGGCCCCGTGAATCATACAGTGGTACGGCGTGGGTCGTGGTATTCATATAATAGTGTGATAAAGGTTAGAATTGGTCTTCAACATTCCGTGCTTATTGTGAGAAGCAAAAGGGATTGAGTGAGTGAATTTGGTTTTACGCCGCTTTTAGCAATATTCCAGCAATATCACGGTGGGGGACACCAGAAATGGGTTTCACACATTGTACCCATGTGGGGAATCGAACCCAGGTCTTCGGCGTGACGAGCGAGCGCCTTATGCACTAGGCTGAAAAGGGATTGACAGGGTGATAAGTGTTCTGGTTGATACGTATTTTGTATCCGACTTAGCGATATTTACTATCTTATTACTAGTGTGTCATCCGTGAAGGTCTGGGTTAGAATATTGATCTTCAGTAACCCATGATTGTCGTAAGAGGCGACTAACGGGATCAGGTGGTCAGGCTCGCTGACTTGGTTGACACATGTCATCGGTTCCCAATTGCGTAGATCGATGTTCATGCTGTTGATCACTGGATTGTCTGGTCCAGACTCGATTATTCACAGACCGGCGCCATACAGCAGGAAAATTGCTGAGTGCGGCGTAAAACTAAACTCACTCCCTCACTCACTAGATTGACTGGTTGCTAACTGACTATTTACATGTCGTCGTATAACCAGAATATTGCTGAGTGCGGCATAATACAACAAACATAACATTAATTAGAAACAGGAAACCTGGTTGTTGAGAAAACAATTCTGGGTTTGAATCATATTTCTATTTCTAAAACGTTATTCTTTACTTGTAAGAGGTAGAATCTCTGAACTTCAAATTCACAGCTGGAGTGTCTGTTTCATCGCTCCCTGGATTATCTGTTTGTTTACAGGTCGCCGTCGCATGGCAGGGGAACTGCTGTGCGTCATCGGCCTGTAAACAATTAGTGGTTAAGGTATACAACTGCCAGGACATGCTGACCTTTTCACCAACACCTCGTTTCAGTGGTCCATTCACATGATTCTCACAGGTATCTGCCATGATGATATTTATGGAGAAGCATGTACAATGTGAATGACAAAATTTATGTACAAAGTAAGTGACACCCCCCTAGCGTCACATACAACGTCAGTGACCCCCCCCCCCCCTATTTTTTCAGAATAATTGGTAAATATTACTACGTACAAAACCGATGAATCCCCTAGAACATGTGTACAAAATAAAATCATCATCACACACAGATACCATGCCATTACGTAATATACGTTACATTTAAGCATTTTCTAAGTGGCATTGTGTGTATTCAAGACTAGGTTTTCCTTTCGAATTGAATATACATATCACTCATTTGATCCTCTCTCTAATATGTCGCGTCTTCATCCCATGTAACTGACAGATGGCCCCTCGCATTTATTGAATAAACTTCATGAATTTAAAGCAAACGGTTGTTTTAGAGTTTTGTAGGAACATTACCAATAACGACGTTTATAATGCGAAATGATTATGACGATTTGCTGTATTCCACCATCCACGATCCACGATGTGGCCTCTAAAGGCCATGGCTTCGAGTGCATGGTGTTTTACGGTCTCTACATGCCGCCGTCTTTGGTGAAGGGCGAAAAGCTGAAAAGACGCTTCAGAGCATCAGAGAAATTGAACTTTATGACGATGACGTCTTTATCTGCGCGTTTCCAAAGTGCGGTGAGTAACGACACATAACCCGTGGAGTTTGGCTTCCCTTTCTACAGAAATCTGAGTTTATTTCAACACCTAGTCGCTGAAATCATCACATTTTTACAACAAACACATTTTGATAAAACGGTAAAACGGAGCCCCAAAACTTCTTGCATTTTCCTGAATCTGCGGTACTCGAAACTTGCCACTTACTCTTGGCTGAAACGGGCTGTACTGTCTGTATGACAGACTAGTTTCAATATGTGCGTCTGTTGCAGGCACTCACTGGGTGTGGGAAGTCGTTGAGATGCTACGAAGTGGGGTCATTGAATACAGGAAGCAAGTTAAGGAAACTCAGGAGTTTGAACTAATATACAAAGAAGGTGTAGACGCACTACCGTCTCCGCGAACCCTGAACACTCACGTATATCTGCGCATGCTCCCCAAACAGGTCGTGGAGAAGAAGATCAAGTGTATCCAGATCATGCGCAATCCTAAAAATGCCTGTGTGTCTTTCTTCAACCAACACATAGATACCCTTGCACCTGTCGGCTTTGAAGGAGACCTGGCTGAGTTTACAGAAATATATTTGTCGGGCCAAAGTGTGTACTAAATTTACATATCCAAATTCCAATGTTCCGTTTGTCAGGAGTTTGATGAAAAGCGAATGGAAGACCTAGGAGACACAAACGAGTTAATTAACATGTATGTGACGTAATGAAATATGAAAGATCAGTTTGGAAATATGACAGCAGTCTGTACTTAACTGAGTCCCAATCTGATACTTGGCAGTAAAATCACGATGAATCAGTCAATCGCTATTTCAGTCGGCTTTTACGAAGACCATGACGTTTGAGCGTTCTCATTTACAAAACTAATTGTTTGAATAAAATACAGTTCCTCTTGGTAATTTGTCCCTGTCCCAGGAAATGTAATTTGTAATCTTCCAAAATTTCCTCTCGCCAATTTTCCAGTGTTTTCCTACTCCGACTACCTCCTGACATGGAAAGCAGAATTGGCCATATCTCCAGGGCAGCCTGTATTGGAGTTGGTCTATGAGGACATGAAACTTGTGAGTTCTGGCCCCGATTTCTCGAAACAAACTTAAGTTTTTACTCAAATTACAAACTGAGTTTGAGATTTTGACTCAGCTGAGTTTCTAACTCAGTTGCGTTTCTCAAAACAAACTCAGTCAAAACTCAGCTGAGTTTGTAACTCAGAATTTGACATCGATCTGAGATTTTTTTTATACGTGGTGTAAGCGGCCATGGCGCGGAAATCAACTTCCGTTTCTAATGTAAACACGGTAGAAGTCGACTGCTAGCGAAGTCGTCTACCGATAGGAAAACGGCAAATGATGTTGAGAATGACTACCAGCGGGATGGAACCGAAACGTAGGCCGAACTTGACCGAGGAGGAGCGGCTTACGTTAGTTGATGAGGTGCGGAGGAAGGAGGAACGGTTGTTCGGCAGATTTAGGGGGTGTGGAGGGAAGAGGGGGGCGGCGATGAAGGAAGAGGCATGGGAGGAGGCAATGGCGGCGCTAAATGCGTAAGTTACTTTTCGTTGAATGCACCCGTAACTAAATTTCCATGAAAAGAATATGATAAATATAACCAGAAAAAAACGTAATCGTGCATGGATGTATCTGACACCTGTGCAAAAACTGAAGGTGAAAAACTAGGTCAGCAGAGTGCCGAATTAGAGTTACCTGCCCCGTACATTATGACTGCAAGCTTTTGGCCCACGTTAATATTGGGTCACGTTACTCAAGGTTTTGCAGATTTGTGCTTATTCCTAATGTGTGTTTTTTTTTGTCTGGTAAATAAAACCACAGTATAGATTTGTACAAAATCTACTGTGAAAAGTAGTTGTACCAAATTCATAAGCATGAAATATGTTTTACGAATCCAGCCTGTGGTATCGACGAGTGGGTGTGACCATGCAGTACCGTGCCAACATGTATATATACATGTATAATCAGTCTCACGTTTGTTTTTACAATAGGAAATCGAGTCAAATTAAACGGACGGTAGAGGAAGGGAAGAAACAGTATGCGAACTTGAAGCAAAGAGGTATATCATTATACATTTTCTTTATGAAGTTGCTTAGGTATTTAAATAAACATTTTCACGCCTATTTGATGATTACAATGACATTAATGTCACAAATTAATTCTGTAAGAAATATTTTATATATATGTAATGTAAACCGAAATGATTAAAATTTAATATCTTTATCAATACCTTGCAAAATATTTTCAGCAAAAGAAAAGAATGATGCCATCCGTCGGCCCAAAACAGGAGGAGGGCCCAAACCAGCTTCCCCAACAATGCCAGAAGCTGCCATCCTGGAGACTATGGGGGGAAGGGCAACTCTGAGTGGTCTAGCAGGAGGCATAGACACTGAAGGTATAACTTATTTCAACTGACTTTGGGCTATGAAAATGGTATTTGCTGCATTTTGTGTAGTTTTAACAACACATAAACACATAACTCAAAATAGAGCAATGATTTGTATTTCTTAATTGCATTGATTCACATAAAATATTCATAAAGAGTGTATGAAAATAACACAAAAACATGACTAAATCTACATATTACATGAAGAAACATTGTTCCTAATTTCACATTATTCAACATTTAAAAACTGCAATTTTCCCTCAGATATGACTATATGTGACCAGGCAATGTTACTATTGGAACAGAACACTTTCTTGACCTAAGTTTTTTTCATACTTTAGCAGCACAAAAAACTTTAAAAATATAAGCCAGTTTGTATATTAACAAGGTGTTATTTGGAAACATAAAACATTAACAATGCTTTATTTAGCAATTTAGCTTCATCACATTTTCCTACTATAAATGCCATTTCATCATAATATTAATAGTAGTAATAGTAATGTTCATTTATATGTAGCTCCAAACTCCACATAAGGTATGTTCATAACGCTGACAATGAATAGCACAGCACACCTCAGATAAGTGCATTCAAAAATACTGTTTCACTTTCCTCATGAATGTATTTTCAGATTTTGATGTAATTCCTTGTTTTTCGGAGGAAGAACCAAGTGTGTCCATGGACTTCACTGATACTAATGAGCATGGTTTGTCCACACTTATATACCATTCTTATACTTTATCCATTAAAATAAACTATCAAATGTGGGACACATTTTTATCGTACCATTACATGTTAATGTACTAAAAGATAATTGTCTCTTTAACCATGACATACTGACCAATCAGACATTGCAATAATAATAAAATGGGACTATTCATCTCCCAATAACTACTGTATTATCTGACAAACAGATGACTATTTACATAAAAAAATATATTTTTGACATATTGTCTCATTTCTAAATTTATATTGTGATTTATATGATTATAATCTGGCATAACTGATATGCTATTCTGTAGCAATTCTTTACAATAATAACTGTTGACAATTATTTATATTACAGTTCTTCAAAGTGCAACAAATTTCCTTGTCATGGAGGACGGAATACTGCAGATCCCAACTATCACTGCTGGTACTCCAAAATCAACCACTGTTACCACTACTACTACTGCTACTCCTACTGCAACTACATCTACAGCTACAGCTACAACTGCAACAGCAAATGCCACTTACAATTCCAATGTTCCTCAAAAAAAGAAGCTAAAGCTGCAACAGCAGGAAATACTAACCTTACAGGCAGAGGAATCCAAATTTAAATGTGAAATTGTTAAATTAAAAGAAGCAGAATTTTTCAGGGCAAAGGTAGCATTAATTAAATTAGAACAGGAAAAGCTGAAATTAGAAATGGAAATACTAAGAAAACAGAACCGTATTAGTGAAGAATAATTGTTATGGGTGCCAAAAATGAAACATACAAATTTATGGATAAAATTTTCTCTTTACTGCATAGAATGATGTTTTGATGTAGTTATCTTGCTAAAAATGACTAATATTCAGACACGTAATTGTTAATCAAGGGAGATAATCTGTCTTAAGTTTTTTTCTGATAATGTACATTTCTATTCATTACTTGACCAAATATGTTAAACACACAATGTTTTCATGAGATATATTGTTTAAGCTGTAATGGAATATCTAACTAAAACACTGCTGACACAAGTGTTTTCGAACATTGTTACCAGTCCAGTCATCAGCTATATGGACACTGACATTTTCATTTGTCTCAATATCAACCTGTTCAACATCTATTATATCTTTTCTATCAATGCCAATATTATGTAGAATGACACAAGCAGTTACTATTTTGCAGGCATTTTGAGGTGTTGTCCTTAATCCACTATGTAAACAAGAAAATCTCCTTTTCAAAATTCCAAAACTCTGCTCAATCAAAACTCTGGTTCTACTGTGACTTCTGTTATATTTCTCTTCAGCATGGGATGATGTGGTTAGGAATGGTGTCATCAAGTAGGACTTGCATGGATATCCTGAGTCTCCCAACAGTTATCCCTTGTAGGTACCTATAACATATAACAAATCACAATCTGTGTGGATGGTTCTGTTGACATTCCTATCTAAATTTGCAAACATGAAACATATGAAAATAAGAAAAGAAATCCTATGGCTATTAATATTTCCTTCTGAAGTAAGAGAGAGCAAGTGAGTTTAAAATCTTTAATATTGTAGTTAAACTGTGGCCAGCTTAGCCTATCAGTGTAAAAATTGAAATGGCCAAGGGCTGGAGCAAAGAGTGTTGTAAGCATGCAGTGTTGTTATTACTGTAGTTAAGACTGAGAGTAAAGCTTAGTATTTAGAGCTGGAAGAATAAAATTAAGTAAAAAATAGTGGTGGTCCGATTAATTGAAATAATCGAATATTGGTCGCAATGACTAAACGACCAAGCAATCAATGTTTTCTCATAATCAAACATTAACAATTTTGGAACATTTGTTTGCATTAACATTATTTTTTACAAGGTTGGTTTTGTCTGTTACATTTCATAAGCACTTCCAGCTCGTTTCAAGTCATGACTGAATTTATTATAAAAACTCAAGAAAAATTATGTTCCTAACATACAAGTCATCCTTTCAAGATGTGACATTTGCAAATGCATTTTGTGCAATTAGTTAAAAAATGTATAAGAACTACATGTTTTCTACTCTATTTTTTGTGCATTAACAAACATATCCAGGAAAATTTGAATAATGACGCTAACCAAATATTTTCGATGATTGAATGGTTGTAATGAACCAATCATCAGTTAAGAGATTCTAACCAATGCCCAACACTATTAGGAAACATAACTAAGCTTCTAACATTTTATCATATAAAACATACCAAGAGTCTACAGAGGTACAGATAAGCTGCGTATCTGCGTAAATTACGCAATTGTTTTTGGGAAAACTCAATTCCTATTAAGTCTATTGCGTACAAGTACGCTTGATTTTTTGTAAATACTCAATAAATATGATCTTACATGCGTACACACAAAAATGTCAAATCTTAGCTTGGGTACCGGTGGATAGATAAAATAACTGAGGTATATTGAGAGGTTCTATTTCAGGACATGAACGTGACAACTTGCAGTCTTTCTTATCATTTTTCATATGACAGATGAAACATAAATAACAAACACTAACATTTAAACTTTATTATATTTTTAAAATTAATGGAAAATGGCAAAATACCCAATTGAGTTTGAGTGAGGTGAGTACAATTTATTTGGTTACTCAAAGGAAAATTAGGATACCCAATTGAGATGAACACAAGCGAGTACATAACTCAATGACCCAAAAAGTTATCTGTAGCTCTGCAGTCTAACAGGTGTTCTTTTTGTTAAATATAGTAAATAAATGGAAACGATGTCTTACATAGGGATGTCATGATACATTAGTTTCATGAATCGATATGTAACCTGATACCCATGTCATGATTCAATACACAATACAATACCCATTTTCGCGGCATTATTGCTTAAATTTAGTAACATTTTGAACATTAATGTTGAAAAATTGTCCATGAAAAGATCAACATGTTTGATTCTTAGAGATGAAAAGTTCTAATTTCCCATCTATGTGCATGAAAAATAATCTTTTATAACCCTCATAACACTTTAAAAAAACATGATACAATTGATAAATGTAAATATTTATAATATTTAAACCAATATTTTTAAACATAAATATCAATACAATTGTCAATGTATCGATAATTGTATTGCCTTAGAAAAAGTATCGATACATTGATGTATCAATGTGTCCTGGCATCCCAAGTCATACACCTTACTACTTCATATGATGTACCTAATATTGTACCTCATCTTCAGTAAAAAGCTATGTTCATATATAAAATGTACCTACTATTAATTAAGAAGAACAGAACCACAATTAATATTTTGTTTGAAAAAAACTCTTCAAGAGTGTTCTTCAAACAGTGTCATTTGGTATTTTGTTTTTTTATACAGTGGAAGTTATGTTATTACAGCTGCTCTATGAAGTTATACCATTTTCAAACGCAATGCTGATTCTGCTGTCTCTGAAGATGCGACTGTCATGGACACTCCCTGGCCACTTTGCAGCACAGTTGATGAATTTGTATCTCGCATCACATATCATCTGAAAAGTGATTCAAATACTATGTCAGCTTAATATAACAATTATTATTTGAAATCAGTAGGTCATTGGTCTTGACTGTTTTGGATTTACATTTGAGCATAAAAGTGACGGAGTTTAGTTTTATGCCAGCGCTTTTTAGCAGTATTCGAGCAATATCATGGCAGGGGACAACAGAATTGGGCTTCACACATTCTACCAATGTGGTGAGGAATAGGGCAAAATTCAAATGTGACTTAAGAAGAATTGATATGGTGATAATCTACATTTTGGTGGTAACAGCATAGGTAATGAAATATGTTTTTTTTAACGCTGAAAGTAATTTCATGCATTGTACATGAGAAAAGTGGTGATTAGTAAACATAAACATATTACCTGAACATTGAGTGAATGAAAGCCTTTCCTGTTCAAATAGTCTGCTTCATTCTCAGATGGTGTCATTAAACGGATGAATGTTCCATCCACACATCCCAGAACATTGGGGAATCCTGAAAAGTACATTTTCCATAATTCACATTTTTTTGATGAATTCATATATTATACAATTATTATATAGACATTATTGTATCATTAAGTTTTGGGTGTGTGTTTTTTAAAAAGTACATCAAGGAATATTTCTGGTTCTTTTCAAGTTTATAAAAATATATTTTTATCATATCGTATGGGATGTCTCTAATGTTTAATTTTTTCCCACATTTGCAATATCGTTATGTCAGTGGGTCTTACGGGGATTTTTATTACGAGTCTCTTCATTTATGCATGATTACATCTCGGTTCATCGGAACTAGAAATGACAAGATTGAGAGTAGCCCCCCTTTATTTGACCTAGAATGAGCTTTGCTACGAAAGGAAGGTAAAA